GCCGCGTGCGAGATTGGTCTGAGGATGCACTAGTAGGAGCCTTCATAGGTGGGCTGAGATTCGATCTAGCCGCAGAAGTCCGACTGGAGCGGCCAGACACGATGCATAAATCCATGGAGGTAGCCCGTCGACGAGAAGACCATCTAGTCGCCACGCGAAGGGGACGGGTGGATGTGCGATTCACGAACATGCGACGCATGGGACTGAGCCAGGCAATGGCCAGCGCACGGCCGAACGTCAGCAATCGGCTAGCAGTGTCGATAGTAAGGAGGCTGTCTCCCGATGAAGTTAAACGTCGACGCGAGAAAGGCCTATGCTTCAAATGTGAAGAAAAGTTTACGCCAGGCCATCATTGTAAACAATCTTTTGTGATTGAAGTTGCTATTCCCGGCGATGAGGAAGATGAAATCGAGGAAGAACCGGATCCAGAGGGGACAACTTGGAAGCATTTAATGAAGAACCTGAAATCTCGATGCATGCAATGGCTGGAATCAGAGGGCCAAGAACGATGCGACTACCAGCGTGGGTCCAGGATCGCAGGGTAATCGTACTCATAGACAACGGGTCGTCAAATAATTTCATCAACGCTGATTTGTCTCAAAAGTTGAAGTTGCCAACCACAAAAATTGAGCCCTTTGAAGTACGAGTAGCCAATGGAGAGAGGCTACAATGTACTGAGTCGTTCCGGAAGGTGCCAATCAAGTTCAGTGGAGTTACTGTGAAGGCTGATCTCTATGCCTTACCTTTGGTTGGGTTGGATGTCGTTTTGGGAGTTCAGTGGCTCGAAGGGTTAGGCAAGGTGACTACAGACTATCGAACGGGAATTATGGAGTTCAACTCTGGAGGTCGACAAGTCACTCTGAGTACTGGCAATGAAAAAGGTACCAAGGAGGTAGGACTAAAGAGCATCGAAAAAGTTTGGCGAGGTGGAGGCCAAATATTTGCAGTAGTGGTCGAGAACACCGAGGCGCACATAGACCGAGATGAACAACAACAAGGAGATGTGCGCGAGCTTCTCGAGGAATTTGAAGGAGTACTGGGCGAGCCTAAGGGACTACCACCATACCGAGAGTTCGATCATCGCATACCACTGATCAATGAGCAGCATGCCATACAAGTCCACCCTTATAGGTATGCTCACTTTCAGAAAACCGAAATCGAATGGCAAGTGGCCGAGATGCTAGAGTCAGGATTAATCCAGCATAGCAAGAGTCCATTTTCTTCTCCAGTACTATTAGCTAAAAAGAAAGATGGCACGTGGAAGTTCTGTACTGACTATCAAACTCTGAATGTCGCGACTATCAAGGATCGATTTCCTATTCCGAGTGTCGACGACATGCTCGATGAGTTAGCTGGATCACGTTACTTCTCAAAGCTCGACCTGAGAGCTGGTTATCATCAGATTCGACTCCACAAGGCCGACATTCCGAAGACAGCATTTCGTACGCACCAGGGGCACTATGAGTATCTGGTTATGCCATTCGGATTGAGCAACGCCCCATCCACTTTTCAGTTTGCTATGAATTCCATCGTCAAGGAGTATCTACGTAAGTTCGTTCTGGTATTCTTTGATGATATTCTGATTTATTCAAAGTCGTGGGGTGAACATCTTGAGCATCTGAGAGCGGTGCTCGAAACCTTGGAGGCAAACTCATTTCACATCAAGCCATCCAAGTGTTCATTCGGGCAGAAGATGGTTGAGTATCTAGGGCATTTTATATCCCACGAGGGCGTAAAGATTGACCCACGAAAGATTGAGGCTATGGTCGACTGGCCTGAACCGACAAGTCTCACACAGCTAAGAGGATTTCTAGGACTCACGGGCTATTACAGAAAGTTCGTGAAGGATTATGGAACCATCGCCAAGCCACTGACAGAGATGACTAAGAAAGGCGGGTTCACATGGACCGAAGCTAGCAAGGAGGCGTTTGGGAAACTGAAACTAGCCATAACTACAACGCCAGTGCTCGCCACGCCAAGGTTTAATGTCTTGTTCGAGGTACACACAGATGCGAGTGACATTGGGATCGGAGTTGTGTTAGTGCAAGAGGGGCGACCCTTAGCTTATCTCAGCAAGGCACTAGGCACTACACGATTGGGTCTGTCTATGTACGTGAAGGAAATGCTAGCAGTTGTTGAGGCCGTAAGGTGCTGGAGGTCTTATCTATTGGGCCGGCGCTTTCGGATTGTGACCGATCAGCAGCCACTCAAGCATCTACTCGAGCAAAGGATTGTTACCCCCGAGCAGCAGAAGTTCGTTTCCAAACTAATGAGGTTTGATTTTGAGATAGTCTACCGGCCAGGTCGACAGAATGCAGTAGCGGACGCATTATCCAGACGGACTGATGTAGCCGAGTTGAATGCTATCACAGGACCGACTTGGACTATTTGGGAGGAAGTCAGGAAGGCGCAAGAGGAGGACACCTATTGCCAGGAGTTGCGCCAATCAATAGAAGCAGGTAAGACAACTGCTATCGACTATGAGTTGCACAATGGTCTGCTTCTACACCGAGATCGACTATTCGTTCCCGACAGTGGGCAGTTACGTGAGCAGATCATGCAGCACTTCCATGACTCTCTAATTGGAGGCCACTCGGGTATCTACCGCACATGGATGAGAATAGCCAATACTTTCTTCTGGCCAGGACAACAGAATATCGTCCGAGATTACATAGCACGGTGCGACGATCGTCAGCGCACTAAGTCTGACTCACGACGACCGAGCGGGCTGTTACAACCTCTACCGGTACCCGAGGAAATCTGGGAAGACGTTACCATGGACTTCATAGAAGGGTTACCGAGTTCAAGTGGGTTTGATGGTGTTATGGTCGTAGTAGATCGACTCACAAAGTATGCTCACTTCATATCCATCACTCATCCTTACACCGCAAAGTCGATTGCAAGGTTGTTTATGGAGTATGTGATGAAACTGCATGGAGCACCACGATCCATTGTTTCTGATCGAGACTGGATCTTTATGAGCAGCTTTTGGTCTGAATTCTTCAAATTACAAGGGACCAAACTATCTATGAGTTCAGCCTACCACCCACAGACAGATGGACAGACTGAGGTAACCAACCGAACTCTTGAGCAGTACTTAAGGTGCTATGTCCATCAATTTCCGAAGAGGTGGGAAAACTTTTTGCCTTGGGCTGAGTATTGGTACAACACCACTTATCATGAGTCGACCAAGATGACACCATTTGAGCTGGTGTACGGACGGAAACCCCCGACATTGATCAACTATTCAGAAGGAAGTACGGTCAATGATGAAGTTGGTCGAGAACTAGAGGAACGAGATCTGATGTTGAGAGAGTTGAAGAAGAATCTCGAAGGTTCGATTAATCGAACCAAACCCTTCGCAGACGGAAAAAGGTGTGAGGAAAATTTTGTACCAGGAGAGTATGTCTATCTGAAGCTACGACCATTCAGGCAGCGCACGACAGCACAAAGGGCCGCAACTAAGCTAGGCGTTCGCTATTATGGGCCTTATCAGATTCTGAAGCGCATTGGTCAGGTAGCTTATCGCCTAGAGTTACCAGAAAGTTTGCAGATCCACCCTGTTATCCATGTTTCGCAACTCAAGAGAAGTCTAGGAGAAGCGCAGAAGTATTGCGAGGAATTACCAGCAACCGCAGCCGATGGGAGGATCATTGTACGACCCAAGCGAGCAATTAAGTATCGGAAGGTAAGGAAAGCAGGGCGCTATCGCTGGGAAGTACTAGTTGACTTGGAAGAGTTGCCACCCAAAGAAGCTACATGGGAAGATCTTGATGAGATGCGCAATCAGTTCCCCAATTTCATCCTTGAGGACAAGGATTCACTTGAAGGGGACGGGAATGATGCGGAAGTGGCTAGGCAGCTCAAGAACGCTGCGAGCCGGGCATATCACGCACGCAAAAGGTTAGCCCGGGAGACAGCGAAAG